TATCGCAAAAAAAAAGATAACAGTATTTTGTTTACATAGCTGCTATCAGCGACATTAAAACTACATCATTATGTCATCTCAACAAAACATCGTGCAAAATAATGAAGTTGTTGCCACCAGCTGGGTTTTCAGTGCAACGGTTGAGGGTACGAAAGTTCAATATTCTTTGCAATTCTGTATCGTCACTGACAATTGAAGCCAAGGTCTTAAATGGCGAAAATGGTCTTGGAATGGCAAAAGAAAATTAGGCTCTTTAAGCTAGCTGAAATGAAAATTTCAAGGACGCTTAAGCACTTCTTATGAGTTGTGCATGCGAAAGAATAAACGTCGTTCTTCCGCTCTCCTAGTTCGCCTGCGGTGTACTGGCGTGGACGGTCAGGTTTGGCTACTGCCGAGGCCGCGGCCGCCGCACCGCCATGTTCCTCTCGGCGCCGATAGGTTGGTATGCTACGTACTGTACACGATCGACACAATTTTCGCAAGGAAAATTTTCGCGAATTTCATGATTCGCCTACGACTCGCGAAAATTAGGTCCCACGAATATGTTTTTCTGTGGTCACAGCATACCACCCCGATTCCCGAAATTTCGAGCCCGCGAAATATTCCTAAATCCCACCCCTCGTCAAATTCCCGAAATATTGAGCCTGCGAAAATGAAGTCGTTCACAGTATTCGCTACCAAGGGGAAAAAAACAAAAACATGAACTGACGCTGAAAGAATAAAACACACGTTCGCGAAACCTATAAAGTCGGTTACAGGTTAATAAAAGTTTGAAAGGGAAGGACGCTTACGGAGGAGGAAGCAGACGGAACGCTGGAGAGAGGAGGGAGTTTCCTCCTCTCCAGCAATCCGTTTGCTTCCTCCTCCCCAGCCCTTCCTTGCCTCGAAAACTTTTCTTAACTTGTAACTGACTATAGTTTTCACTAATCGTGGGCGATTCGCGAGATTCGCGAAAATTGGGTCTTTGCGAAATATACGTCGTTTAACAGCGTACCGTTACCACTGGAGAAACTGAGATCAAGGCATCGCCCAATAGGAACAACTAGCAGCGTCGAACACTGCTACAATTGTCACAGGACATCTTTTTCAGCAGTCTATGGATGTAGTCACTGACACTGAAAAAAACGACAGTGCGTGGTTTATTGCGTGTACGATTCTCACTTAGCGACTCCTTCTTCGTCATTCTTGTCGGCGGATCTCGCACTCTCATTGGCTCTTGGGCGATAATACATGCGCGGGACTCAACATAGACACTTTGCAGCAGCATGTGTATGGGCGCCGCCATACCGAACCTTCAGTTTTTGTTTCCTCTTTTTCCGTTTACTTCACTTCATCACTAAGGAAGCAAGATAGGTTGTTGCCATCCTAGATTCTACCGTTTTCTTCTCCCCGGCATAGGCCTTTGTGTGGGCTCGTCAACGCCCACTTCAGGGGCTCGGCATCTCGGCAAGGCTAAAGTCGCTGGAGACTGGAAAAACAGCGCCATTGCCTTCCCCGCCTGCTAGCAGAACACAAATATATGCTAACCACACAAACAGCCAAAACCTCGCACGGCGATTGGCTCTGTTGCCATGGCAATCGCCATTTCGATCCTTTCAAATCTTTGTAGATTCAAAAAGTTCGTTCTAAACCATCCGCGCCAAGATCGCTCTGGAGTTTCATCGTACTGTAAGCGTTCGTCGCCAATATAAGCGTATTTGGCACTGTGGTTACAATGAACTCTTCAATAATGCTCATTTGTCTAGATGTCTTTCAACGATGTTGTTTTTACTGAGTATTACAAGACAGGAAAATTATCTTCTTTAGGGCCACCAAACACCATCGCCGCACGTTGTGACGGTGCGAAGATACATATCTGTTTTACCGGTGTGTGGATGACAAAATCTCGGCATTCAAGAAATGTCTTTATGAAGCCACTTGTCACGGAGAATTTGAATCAGCTAATTAGGAATGGAGAGGTGAACGGTAAACTGGCCATTCAATGAACCAAAATGGCGACCAGGATGTAGTGACTTTAGGTGAAACAAGAGGTCAGAAATTTCGATTGCATCTGGCGCGTGTGCAAAGCGTCTGGTGATCATTACTTGTTGTTGTTGTTTGTATTTTTTTTTTCTGAAAAAAAAAAAAAAAAAACAAGCAAACAAATTCGGTGGTGCGAAATGTGCTCTGCAAATGATACGCGCTCATCAGCAAGGCCACCACAATTTGACCGCTTATTTGACATCGATGCAAGCCCATGTATAGACATTTTGTGTTTCCTGTCGTACTCAGTCATGTAAGTTCCGTATCTGGTATGCGGGACGAAAAAAATTGTAAAACATTTCAACCTTGAATATGCGAGAAAATATAGGTGAGGCAAAACTATAAAATGTGAAAATCGGACATCCTTCGTAAACACCTTCCAGTGGTGGCGTGGATATACCAAATCGACGCTTTACCGCATACCAGAAGTAACGACATTCAAGATTGCTGCGCCCGCGTGGAAAATGTGTATAGCATATTGTATTCGGGCAAATGAGTTTTACGACAACTATAGATGGAGTTGAACTTGGTTGTGACCTTTTCAGACGAATCCCAAAAACAAGCGAGACGAAAAATCGGAAACTTTTTTTTTCTTCGCAGCGGGGTGAAATGCGTCGTTTATTCAGATTTGCGGGTTTGAAATAAATAGTGTATGGCTTCGGGAATGGCTGACTGGAATGAGCGCCGGTGGGATGATGCGTTCCCGTGGAGCACTCCTGTTGCCTCGCTGCGTCCTCCATCGGTGTCACCCGTCGCCTGATCCACCTGCGGACATGGGAATAACAGAAAATGCCGATCTTTGAAAGGAAACACCAACCTCTCTTGTAACGTTGATATTTTGGTACGGATAAGCATGCATCCGTTTTACTTTTATAAGAGAAAATGCGTCGGGAATCTTCGATGTCCCAACTACCGTATAGTCACCGAAGAGGATCATAGCGGCCATCGATGCCTTCCAGTTTTCCCGCTTCCAGCCGCCCGAGCTACCTGACTTCGTTAGCGACTTTGTGTTTCGTGAGCCCCGAGCCCACTCTCGCAACTAAAGCACGACGGAAGGCAACCGGCGCGGGCTGGAGGCCGGACAAAGGAAAGCGACACCTTACGGCTCTCGCACTGTCAATAGACCGATCTCCACAGCCAGTTTCATATTATTACGCAGCCGCTGCCGACATGCATAGGGGAAACTGTAGACTTTCGGCACGCGGGATAGTCCCGCTGAGGGTGTGCGCAAGCAGAGCACGAGGCAGATTGCATCAATTTATGACTGCAGAAAAAAAAGCAAGAAAAAAATAGAAACGATACATTTTGTCAGGATCCAGTTTGAAAGAGAAACATGGAATTCTTAGACTGTCGTCTGGTACAGCTATAGATTCGGTCGCCTTTTGTGCTCTATATTTAGGATTAAGAGTCTTTAATTATTTTTAGCAAATGAGCCCATATGTAGGTTGACCTTTTCTTGTACGCAAATAAAGAAAAGACTCATTTTTCTCTCCGCCACCCTTTATTTTCCGGTCCCGTGGAGTGTGGCAATACCGGTTAAAAAAGAAAACCCAATACATGTTTTACAAGTGGTCATTTAACGGTAGCATCGACAATACGGAATTCAACAGCGATGAATCTCTTTCAATGTGGTAAGCCTTCTTTTAATTTAGTGTTTGTTTTTACATTAGGCACTATGACGCGTTGGCCAATTATTCTTGGTCAGTTTCTTTTTTTATACATGTTAATTTGTCACTTCTTTCATGTTTCGCGCAAACAGTAACCCCATAAATCCTTGTCATGGGTTACACCAGCGTAAATTTACTAGAGACGATTGCAAGCCAGGCCAATGACCACTGCCGTGTCTATTTGTATGCGGAGAAGCCCGGGCAATTTCAAGCTTGCCTAAGCTCTATGTACACGCGCAAACTGAACGTGCTTGTACTCTTGGGGCACCAGTCGGGGCACCATGTTTGCGAACAGAATGATACAGGCAGGAGGTGTCTTTCGACCATCTGACCTTTAGCACGCGCTCCATGCTTTTCGTCGTGCTTCGCGCTCCAGGTGCGCGAGACGCTTAAGCGTCCTACCATGGCCTCCCCTATACTTAGAAAGCCTGGCAGTTTGACGACAGAGCCATAGAGTGCCCGGTCGCAGATTTGGAGCGGGAGGATCTGGTACCACAAAGCATCGAAGAGCCATTTCTCGGGGAACCTTTTGTAGCGGCGAGGACCCGAAACACACTTGTTCACTCGGGATAAGTGTGTTTCGGCGTCTCGCCGCACCGGGCCGCCAGTCACGTGGCTCTCCTCTCATCCCTTGTCTGCCACGCCACCTTTTTTTATTTCGGCGGCCGCTTTTCGTGGCGATCTGCCAGGTTTTGCCGGTAGTATAGGAGGCTATGGTAATACAAAGTAGGAAGCTTCCGCTGGCGGCGGGACAACTGAAGCTCCACCCTGCCGTTCCCACCTTTTCAGTCACCATAGTCATTGCTCACTGGACGTCATATTTAAGTGCACTGTTCACTGGGCACGCTCAGAACGAGATCACATTTATAGGTTCCCTTGACAGGCAATCCTGATGGTGTGCTAGGCACGTTGCAAACGCACTATGAAAGCACGCCGTCAGCACGCGCTGAGCATTCGTGCACTCAGCTATGGGCGCCAATGAATACATCCTATGCGCCCTAACATACACTAAGGTATTACAGTGGCTGCGTTGGCACGACAAGCAGGTCTCTTTATCCTGGGAAAAGTGGCACCATTAATTGTTGTGGAAATGCTCGAGACATGTGGAGCGCGCCACTTCTGAGAACAACATGGCGTCTGAAATCTAGCTTCTTGCTGCGCTGTGCCGCCATGATCTTCCCAAGGGCTGCACGTTGCACGTGCCTCGTGCATCGACGCACCTTGCTCTCATTTTGTAACATGAAGGGGCTTTAATGGTTGCTTGACGGCAGCGCACTTACTCGGAGGCTAAGCGGACCAGAGGTCTCCATGTCAATCGACGCACGGCAGCTGAGTATATCGAAGCGAAAAGCCGTTCTGGTTCTCTTGGGAATTCATCACGGCATCCATGTTAGACTTGACCCTTAGCATGAACGGCTTGCTGTGGGCTGTTGGGAAGATCAAACATATGTGTTGTGAGGACAAACAAAAAAGAAAAAAAGAAAGGAAACGTCACTACTTACGACAGGAGGTTATAATTTAAGATCAAGATTTCAAGTTTATATCGAAAGTACACTTATAAAACGAGCCTTTCTCTTGGTTGAGGAAGAATAACTGGTTTGATGATATACAACAAATTGAAAGTATAAGGTATGCTCTAAAATATCTAGAGCTCCTACATCTCCTGAAATCTTTTGGGAGAATCAATCGTTGTAATCTACGCAGGAAGCTCGTCGAATGACGAGGTTGATAGTACGTCTAGACCTCAAGAAAAGAGACTGTGGCAATCGAGAGTTTTAGCATAGGTCGTTCCGATGACCACGATAACAATATCCGATACTCCTCCGCCGCCTTTGCGCATACATCATATTTTATCGGGTATCGTTATCGTTATCGGGGAACGATCTACTAGAACGTTTTACTCATCACGGTGGAGCATTACGCTCAGTGCCAGAACGCAGACGGTATTTGTCGGTTTAAACATATTATCAGCAGTGTAATCGCATCTACAGATCTGTGAGATCTGTTAATCGCCAGTGATTGGTTTTTCCAAGTACGTTGGGTGAAACAAAAACTAAAGTAACCACTCTAGTTTTTTTTTTTTTTTTGTTTTAGAATATGTATGACAAAATGCAGTGTATAAAGTCATTGCTGTCATAATCCAGATGTGGGTTACAGGATCGCTCATCAAACCTTCATTCCCGCCTGATGCCCTCCTGTGAGGTAAAAGAAGGGCCCTGTCTTTTTCTTTTTCGTTTATCATGCGGAATACTGTATTATTACGTGTTGGTGTGAAATTCTCGAAGTTCTTCCAGTCTCGGCTTGCTAAACTTTGTTCAGTATTTAGCTATCGTCGATTCCTGAGAGGGCGAAGCGTCTAAAAAGAAGCATCAACAATAAAATATGTTTTTTTTTTCTGTGTGTGTGTTTTTTTTTTACACACGAGCAGACGACAGCTGGCTTATATTCAACTTTGTCAACAAATCAATTTGGAATCGTGATTCCAATGACTTTTTATGTGAAACGAAAAAGCACTTCAAGACAAGAACCACCTGTTAGCTTGTTTTCGCTTAAATTTAGTATTTCATGCTTTAAGCGATGTCTGCGACTCTTTTTGGCACGCAGGTGTCGTTCTGAAACGTTACAATAGAGTAATGTCTCAATGTGTCCCCATGTCTTGGCTTCAGACAGATAAAAAAGCGCATTCATACCCCAAATTGCCGAAACAGCCCGTGTCATTGTTCCCATTGTGCTTGTACTTACAGATGAGCACGTTCTTTTCGTGAAGCCGCGTGCCACAGAACCTGTCCTCTCCGGGCCCCATGCCGTACGTGGATCCCTGGTCGACGGTGATGAAGTCGTCCCTACAGGCCACCACGTTCTCCTCGTAGGTGGGCTGGCCCCAGGAGAACGACGAGTTGGTTTCGGTTTCCCACTTGATGGAGCAGAAGTTCTCTTCGACTCGTAGACAGATGGAGTAACGGAGCCCGCTGAGGTACCGCACTTTGCTCTCGACCGGAGGACCGTAGTTGAAGCTGCGCACCACAGCGCTGGGACTGCGGAAGTACTGCAGACAACCGGGAGGTACTGAAATGCGAGAAGAGAGCTTGTAAAATATGTATAAAAAATGAGCAACGACGACGATAAGTGATTGTAAGTTGTAAGGTGCGGATCGTGTCTCACGTGTTTTTGTGTGCCCCCTGTCTTCTTTTGCGTTCGCATACTAAGGTGTTCCACCAACACGCTCTTCTAATTCTATCTCTGAACAATAACTTCTTCTCCCTCGTGCGACGCCTTAAAACTAGCGGTAAATGATATATATATAACTAGTTTAGCTATAGACACTTTTCTTGTTTACAAGCACAGGGAATCTCGGCTAGCCACGAGATTTGCGGTCGCTCCCTTTCAGCACGCCTTCCGAGTTTGTTCATATCAAATTTTTGTGATTATGGAGTTCTACAGAAACAACGAAGTTGGGGGTTTATCGAGGTCTTTAATTCTGTAGCGCTATTCAACACACTACAAAAAAGGTCCGGTCGTCTTACAGGAATATTAAAGAATCTCCAACAAGCATCTCGCTAACCGGTCCTTTAGCCATAATCACCTTGAGAACTGGCCATAAAATATTTCATGAAGGTTACGAGAAGCGCAGTTTTCTCATTTGGCCGGAACTTTGCAGGGTCGTAAATTGCCAGCAGCGCCCTCTTCCGCCTCATTAAAAAAAAAAGATAAAAAAAGAAGACGTTTGGCTTGCATGTGACGTCAGCGCACTATGGCGGTAATTATCTTTGTTCTTTCTGAGTAAAACAAAAACTGGTGTTGCGAAATGTATGCTGGAGAAAGATCGCGCGCAAGAGCAAGGACACCAAAATGGCCGACCTTGTGCGCTCTGTCGTGCGGCAGGGAAGGTCCTTTATTTGTCCCGCCTCCAATGCGAGCTTGCTACCTTCGATAACACTTCGGCGTCTCGTGGGCTTTGAGCGTGCACGCACAGTTAAAGCACGGCGGAAGACAGCAAGCGCGTTCTGCAGGTCAGGCATCGGAAAGAGAGGGCCAGCCGTTTTGGTCTGGTCAGCGAATACGGGAACAGATGACTATAGTCATAGCCAAATAGTAACTATCGCTTCTACGTGCGGCTTTGCATAAACTAATGGTTCTTGACGAAGTCTGGACTCGGTTTGGTTGTTGTTGTTGCAGTTCCCAAAACTGTTTATTGCGGGTTCATAATATTTTGTTTCGCATATCGTACATAACCGCGTCTAGTGTATTCTAGATTTCGTCATCACAAGTCAAGTTTCAGGTTTTTGGGCAAATCGATGTAAGCTTCTTCTTACTTTGTGTGTTTGCTACAATTATACAAGAAAAACAGGTAGGTATCTTTGACAGGTAGTGCATTTCGAAAAGCGAATTCCAGCTGATTACGCATAAAGCTTTAAGTGGGAGCTTACTTTCAAAGTTGAATTAGAATGGTGCAAATTACGTTGCATGCGCTTGTAAAAATAATCTAAAAACCAAAGCACAAAAAAATGAAAAGAAACCGTTCTAAAGCGGCAATGTTTGAAAGTAGACCACTCACCAATATCCAGACTTCCGCACTGGATCATGCTGATCTTAATCCTCCACCTTCTCGGCCGCTTGCCCCCTCGGCTGATGACGCTGAGCACCACAGGGTTTCCAGACTGCCTGCCCATCTCGACGTACACTGAAATTAACAGACAATATCTGTTCGGTAACTAATAAATTGACAACGTAGTAGAAACGCTAAAAAACTCAAGTGTGGCATGCAATATTCAAGTTATAGGGTTTTAATTAACGCCGGTAAATTTTCTTTCTGGCTCAAAAATCATCTTTCTGAAACTTCCTGCTCGAAAATTGCGTTAGTCAATTCAATTTTATGTTTATTTGAGGAAGTGGCAAATTTTTCCCCATAATCTGGAACCGGCTACTTCAAAATCAAGAAATGAATGGGATATCTGGTTTATAGATTACAATCATGTAGTCTGTATAAAACGAATAATTCATTGAGCTATACACACACTCCTAGGAATCATAACAGTTTTGTTTATATGTTGCCGCCTATAAAAATAATTGCCATGTGTGAGTCATTGATGCACTTTGCCACAACAGGGGTCTTTTTCTTTTTTACTTAATTGCATTATTTTTGTTTAACAATTTGTTTTGGTCCATGCTAATCCTATATGGCGGGTAAGCCGGTAAATATATGAAAATAAAAATGTCCAGGTTTCCTAGTTATTTTTTTTGGGTTTTTCAGAGCACCATATGCTTGCTGGACGCCTGGAATCCTCAGAAATATTGAGAAAATGTCTTATATCCGCTTTGATAAAGTATCTACCAGCGCAGTGTAGTAAAAATTGTCATTTACGTCGTCCACGAATTTCACACCTCAAACATTTATCACACCGTAAAATCTTAATAAACAGTAAACTCTAAAAAAAGTTTCTTGATTATGTATTATTGCAGTTCGTCCTGTCTAATATAGTTTGTAAACAAAGCTGTGTTTGCGTGAAAAAAGAATTAATAAAATATAGGGTCCGTTTTTCACCGGGCGGCTGTGTGGAAAAGCAAAGAAAGATAATTGAAAAGAGATACGCTTTGGAATTTTAGCTTATTTATATAACCACTAGCAATCAACCTTAAAAGAGAAAGGGGAAAAAAAACAGAAAAAAACAGCAGCCTCGCTCGGTGTACTGATTTTTAGAAGTTGAAAAATGCTTGGAAGTTACCGGGATGTATCAAGTACCATAATCCTTCCCACTGCTAATTAGCCAGGCGAAAAATGCCGCGTCGCTGGGTTGCGAACGGAGCTGGGCAACATCACGATACAAATGTATCGCGACAGCGTCTTAGATATACCTTAGGGTATTTGTATTTCTGTAGCAAGATACACTTGAAAAATGTATCTGTATCTCACTAGTGAAATACATTTACAATGTATCGATTGGATCACGGTACTGTGCCGGGCTTAGGTATCTCATTACATTTGTTGTCGAACATTATAAGTCGGGATTTTGCAAAAAAACTGTAAAAAAAACAAAACACCTCTTTGGAGCAAGACGTCCAAATCTTCATATTATGAACACGCCACTTAACTCCTCTACAAGGAGAAAAACCTAAAGCGAAAGCACGAAGAATCGCGCATAACTTTCAAAATATAAGCATTGCCACTTTGCATTCGCCAAGAACGACTCCCCCAGCGCACCTACCACAACTCGAAGGAAAAAAAATTTTAAAAAAGTATTTCTTCGTGGTTTTGTATTTGTATTCCGGGATGATTTTTTGTCGTTTTTGCAGAAGTATCTCAGGGATATCCCGTTTCGTCAAAGACAAATGTATCTCCGCATCTGCATTTTGGCCTAAAATACGTGCATCTTATAGTAAATGAATTCACGAATCTTTTTGAGTATCTCTGCCCGGCCATGGTTGCACACAAATGAGCGACGTCTGACATTACTCTGAGGAAAGCTAATGCGCATGTTCACTTAACGGTCCGTTCACACTCTTACAACCGAGTACGACCGAGAGAGACCAGACCGGTTTTTAAGCCTCTTGCGACTTCTTAAGACCAGCTTCGCAGCACCGCATCCGATCCTAAGAAGTTGCAAGAGGCTTAAAAACAGGTCTGGTCTCTCTCAGTCGTACTCGGTTGCAAGAGTGTGAACGGACCTTAACCCTTTACGCAGCCCATAAGATAAAAGGTAGCAGTGCACAAACTTAAACAATATACGGGTTGTTCCCGAGAAAAGAGAACCGCGCTTTTCGGCCTGGGCAAATTAATTATTGTTTTGAAAATATCAGGCTTAGGTGGACGTCGGCTTAAAGATACATTTTGTTTTTCTCAATTATCTTGTGATCCAGGTAACGAAATGTTTTCAAACTTTCTGGTTCTATCCCAATCGGTGGTTTCATAATCTCACAGAGTTTGAGCCTTTTGCGATGCGTAGTTTGTCCATCCGGGCCAAAAGAACACGGTACATCGTGTCACATGGATTGATGGAATAGTCTCTATACGTTTTCATATACGGCCTCTGGCCTCCGCTATCATGCTGCTGGCGTGTGTAGATCGTCTGAGAGTCGAGCCTCACTAAGTCATGCCCACAAGTGCCAGATCGGTGCCCGAACAAAGCATTTGCCATCCACTGTGGTCAGACTAGCTTAAAAGCGGGGCCGCCTGCAAAGGTCCAAACGTTTACTGGACGCCAAATTGCATTGCGTGATTCACATGCTCAGAACGAGCTCCCATTTATAGGCTGCTAAGTCCGCCGATCTTTACGGTGGGAAATGCATGTTGAGAAATAACAGTTGAAGCTCGCCGTTAGCACGCAGCAGCGGACTCAGCTATGAGAGCCAGTCATGGAAGTAGGATCAAAAGGACGCAGCATACCAGCTTAAGCCAGCCAAACGCGATAATTCCAAGTGAAGCCGGTGGGATCGCCCCCAATGCGCCATAGTCCGTCCAATAGCGTCCAAGGGTACCCCGGTCCGTCCAATAGCGTCCTTTTGTTTTGATAATCGTTGCGGGCGGGACCGTCCAAACCGGAAGTATCCCACGGCTCCACCTCTGGTGGCGTCATGTCGCCTCCAGAAGCTTCTTACCCCGATGCCGTCAGTGAATACTCTCTATAGATTCACACGCTGTTTACAAACAAGTCGTTGCTTGCCCGCCCCACGTGTGGGCTCTGCGCATGCGCTGTAAGCATATTCGTGTAAAGTGAGGCGTCTACGTATGCGCCGCGCTGACAAGCAGCGCCACCGCTACAGCATGAGATTGGAGCCACCTGCTGCTGTACAGACACCACCACGCGTTGACTACTCCAAGAACGGCTTCTCACGGTGCTGCCCGTTGTTTTCGCCGCACAGCTGGGGCAGGTTCTCTCCCACCGTTGTCCTGACCATGAAGGAGTCCACGTTGCAGAGGCCCTGATCGTCTGGAGGTGCCAGGCTGAACTCGAGGAAGTCCAGTCTCAGCTGGCAGATATCCGGCGTCTTGGTGATGGTCACCTCGCAGGTGCCGGTGCCCACCTCTCCGCTCGGGTAGCTCGGGTTCACAAACTCCGTTTCGTTGGCCGCACTCACCATGTTACAAGTGAAGCTTACTGCAGAGAAAACAATCGCGCTTGTCGTCGACATGACCATTACATGGAAGAAGGTCTGTGTCTAAGGACTTGAACAGACACACACTTTTCTTGATCACTTACAGTGCTACAAATGTAACGAGGTAAGTGCTTAATTGTTCATCTCTACAAACGTTTGGAGTTCGAACCGAAACAAGTCAAGTCTCTTAGCGAAATGTCGGCTGTGACATAATAGATCACGCCCCGCGCGGCTTAGGCTCTCAGTGCTGATAATTGTAACAGCTTCAACCCTCTTCGTGTCTTGTTTAGACTCGTCTACCGGACGGCCCTTAATTAAAACCGTAATCTCGCGACTGTTGTGATCTACCCTAAAAAGGACAGAGCTTCGTAGTTAGTGCTTGCATGTAGCCAAGAAAATAAAGTAAGCTATCTTAGCTGTCTCCCGTTGGGTTGAGAATGTAGGCGTGTTGCTTACCTCGGCAGCAAACGCCGTATCCTTCAGCACAGCGTCCGATGTCGGTACCTTGCTTGGCACCACACTCCTGCTCGGTCACGCAGGTGCCATTCTGGCCGTACTTGCCCTCGCAAGCTTGGTTTCGGTACCGCAGAAATGTGAAGTAACCACCTGTGGAGCAGCAACAAAGGTTTCTAGCGGAATTCTGGGGCCTCAGAAATTGTCCGTTGCTGAGTTGGGGCGTGACAGCTAAGCCCTGGGTTATGTATCCCGGTAATCCCTCTTTCGAAGTTGCTTAATCCTGACCACGGACCGAAGAAGGGTCACCAAAATATTTTAGGCACTGAATATCAAAAGACTCCTATTTTATTTCTTGACAATTTCCTTCAATTCAGTCTGCAGTCTGAGTCGTATAACATTGGATTTATGGTGTTAGGTGAGCAATATACAAACCTTTAACTCGCAAAACAACAACAACAAAAAAAAAAACGTTTTATTAGATTTTTTTTTTCCAGATACTGAATTCTTCATTCTGTCTTTATCAATATTGTGTCAGTTAACTTGCCGAGTTTCTGCTTACCTTGTGTTAATTTTTTGTTTCTTCGTCTTGCGGTTGTTTTGTCTCTCTCTCTCTCTCTATATATACGAAAAACTGTATTTTTGTTTAAATATTTTAGTATAATTATTTTAGGTTGCTGCTCCCGTAGGCTCTAGCTAGTTGTTGGATCTATGTGTGCTTGCAGACAAGGGATAATTTCATAAATGAAATCAGTAGAAGGCCATACCATCAACGAAATTGGGAACTACTCACTTAGTTGTGGTCTTGAGGTCTGAGCTTCCACGTACCCGAGCAAGCCAACGCCAAGGGCAAGGGTGAGGAATAACCTCAGCATCTGCATCGGAAGCACCACTTGGTCAGAGTACAAGACGCCTTCATCGCCTTCTTAATCTTTTCAAAAACCATGCACACAAAAAATTAGCCCAATACATTGTGTGATATCATCGTCATTCAGTTCAATTTAATGAAGGCAAATGGTACCACTTCCATTGGTTACTGTCATGATTCTGCGGCTTCATGCCCTAATGAGAGAAAAGAGATACAAATAGACCGAAAAAGACAGCTGGAGGGGAGAAAAAAAAAAAAAAAAGAAGAGAGGATGGCCAGCGAAACATGAGGTTTGGTCGGAAGAGAAGCTCCGCAAGGAGGTCTATGGCTATGGTCCTGGACTTGCCCGACTCTTGCTACGCCCAAGCCGCAACAGCAACTTTTTACTTCACGAGCCCAGGATTCGAGGTGACCACGGCGAGCTGCACCACTTCGCGGTTTGTCCACGCCACAAACTACCAGGGGTATTCGGTGTGAGGAACTGAGGGACGACTCTTTGCCCGTCGTTGAACTACATAGTTAAACTTACTTCTTTTTGTATTTTTGTTGTAATTATTTTTCTTACTTGGCCTGTGTTTGTATTTGTACTTTGTAAACAGAACGTAGCAATTTATCTGCCGCTTGGCCTTCTTTTCATTCCGCTTGCGACCCGTCTCGAGCGGACGTTGACAGTTACACGCGCACGTTTTCTCAATCAGGCTCAGTTGAGCAGAACGTTATAGCATACGTCGTGAAAGGTCGTAATTTCCGCACGCATCTTGCTACCGAATCAATAAACGACGAGCTCTTCAGCTACACATTGTCTGACCTAAAACACCTAACCCGTGCTATTCTGATTGTAACTTCCTTCGTGATTTATTTTTATCAATCATAATTTACCGGGCTGACGCGAGATCTTGTTTCTTAAATAATACACTCATAACATCATCAACTGACGCCTGATCCCACATCATACGTGCTAATTTCCAAGTCAGCCGAATAACGTCGTCCCAACTTCCTTGCAAAAAAAAAAAAAAAAATCTGAAATCTCTTTTTTTGTTTACATGCGTGCGATTTGAACTATGAACCAGATCAAACAGCAGGGGTGTGTACGGCAAATAAGAACAATAATTTTGCAAATCAGCTCTAGAAAACGCGAAGGGTGTTTATCAAGAGCAGTTTGAAAAGCAGGGTTAACTGCAATGCAGGAAAAACAACATTTCGTCGTCGAGAAAAGGGATAATTGATTTCGGAGTATACACTCTTTCGCGCGAAAGCTCATATGTTCTTATTTCTTTTTATTGCGTGAAGTATTTGACAGTTCTTTCAGAGCATTTAAACAATGTTGCAATACCACATTTGTTAAGTATACAAAAAAAAAAAAAAAAAGAGATACGGATTGAATCAATCTGCGTTTTCGGATCACGATGACTGCTCGCGACCATTTTCCAGATCGACAAGACACCGCAATGCAAGAAAGAGGTGTTCCGGGGTCGCGCACAGGGAAGACGAATGGACGGATCCGCTTACCTTAGCCGTCGCAGTTGTCGATACGGTCTCAGCTCTCCTACTGGCGCCCCGAGTGATCCGCGATGGCCCCCAAGGTGGACGTTTTAAGAGAGCACCGGTTTGTTTTTCCTGGCCCGGCCCGGAAGCCAACCAGAGAGCAGGTCAACCTGCCGAAGCCTCTTTTTTTAATTCTTTTTGCTTTCTTGACTGAGCCTTCGTTCCTCGCTGCGGATGGTGGCATCGGGAGAGGAGGGTGACGAGGGTTCTTTTCACGGTCAACGATCTTGACTTGGTACGTCTCTCCCGACTCTCCCTCTCTCTCCCTCTACCTCTCTCTTTTTCTTTTGTGTGTATATGTGTGTGGATGCCTTCCTCTTTGGCCTTTACAGTCTCTTGACTGAGGCGTAACTTTTTAAAAGGCTCCTTAATTGAAAATTCGCAGACGCGAACTCTTGGGCATTTAGGGAATACTTGCGCTGAGATATGAGGTGTTGTGAGGGCCGTTAGGGTGCTTTCTGCAGGTGCGCGGTGGTTTGAATGAAGACACGTTGCTGATTTTGCGTAGTCGTCCTTGGTATCTCGCACGCACGGTTTGCTTTGTAAAGAACTAGGCGGCGTACGAGAATGTTCGATACCCCTATGGTGCGCTCATACCCTAAGAAACGCAGGATATGGACAATTCCGAGGGTCTTATCGCTTCATACCCAATGGCATCGCGGCATTATCAGATAAAAATTCTGAAATAAAAAAAAAAGCGTAAAGCAAGAAACATAAAGACATTCCCTACTTTTTCATCCTGTCTTAAGCTGTCCCCCCCCCCCCCCCCCCCCCCCCACTATAGTATACCTACCGTACTTCGTTTCATCTCAAGTCTGGGCGTATACTGCCGACGGTACAAGCCAATGAAGCCAATCGAACCCCGCCGAAAACTTAACGTCACGTTGTGCGGTGTCTTTCAGCGCGTATATTACGACCGACTAAACCTATCAAGCGCACGCCGTGACCTTGCGTTTTTAGTATGTGTGTCTATGCATATGTGATATGTGTCGCATAAGCCTTCGACCGCGGTCTGTCTCAAGGCGAAACGGAGTATAGATTTGTTTGAATGGATGAATGAAAACTCTTTAATTAGAAAGGGCTTTCTCTTAGGCTTAGCTGGGGGAGCGGGTGGAGGGGGAGGGGGAGGAGATCGCGTACGACGGTTGATCTCCTTGGCACGCACAAGCTTCCACAGGGAGAGTTGGCCATCGCGTTGCCTGGAGTGGTTCATTCGAGGAAAGTCCGAACGTGTCGCGGAAGGTGCTGCTGCTGCCGGAGGTTCTGGTAGTCAGGACAGTCAGGCGCGTTTGAAAGGATGCTATTGTGTTTTCATTTCAAATAGAATGAGGATTGAAAAGAGACAGACCGATCCGCAGGTGAGTTTTCATGATTGTGCGAATCCAGCATCAGTGATATGCGGCAGAAGGAACGAGACACAGAGGTTTTGAAATCAGCAGTATAAAGTTTATTTACCCCAGACATTCGCGTGTTTTTAGTATTTTTCTTAACGTTACATACCAGCGTGTCAGTATACAAGTTCGTACAGACTAGCTCTAAAAAGCCTTATAAAACATGCATGAAGGTTCCTCCTTCATTTTTCGCGCAACCATTCCACGACAGTTGCAAGGGCGGAAAAGGAACTCCCGCCACTGACGCTAACTTTGCACTCTGAACTGTCAGTTCATGAAGCACCCGAGAAATACGAGACAATCAACATTGATACAGGACGCGGTTAAAAAAACGCAACGTTTCGGCTGTAGCTCTTGCGAAATATTCTACTCTTTTAATCTTGCTGCACCACACTGCGCTAGCGCAGAAGCTGCAGTTCCAATGCAGGGGTGCAGAATGCTATATACTTCAGACATGTTGAATCAAATATTTAATGCAACTCGGCTTTTTTTTCCTCTGTGCGGCTTCTGTGCGGTACAAAGCAATGTGTTGGTTTATAGAGCGGAAGTAATGTTAAAAGAGGGCGACATGCTATAGAGATGCATTCAGGTAAAGGCTGCAGACTCAATAGAATGGAATGGAACCTTACCTGGCAAACAAGAATGTGACGAATTCTTTCAAACAGACTGAACAGGGGTGCTTGTCATGATATAAGCTATCTTGAAGCACCTTAGCTTAACTGGCTTGAATCAAGTTTAGGCGTTTTATCGAAATGTGTGATAACGAGAGGGAGAGAAAGGTAATGCGCCGAGAAAGTGAGGGAGAGGGGGTGACGAGAGCGCGAGAAGACGTCAGAACGCCGAGCTCTGGTTGGCCTGATTAGTGGGTAGAGCTAAAGCGAGCAGCCTTTGTCTCCACTGCACTCGTCGAACGCGTTAAAACGCGGTATACAGGCGTCCGGCTTCTGGCTCTCGCAATCGAACGGGTTCGACGAGTGCAGTGGTGACCAAGGTTGCAAGCTTTAGGTGTACCCCCTAATCCTTCCAATCAGAGCTCGGCGTTCTGACGTCCCTTCGCCCTCTCATCTCACTCTCTCCCTCACTTTCTTGGCGGATAGAAAATTCCTTCTTTGGACGCTGGCTGTTTCTAAAAAGGACACAGGATAACGGCACACACTAGATTTCTAGGTAAAATTTTTGGAGTATATCTTTGGTGATGTAGGTATTGCCTTGGGCTCGAAAAACAAGACTTCCCTTTGTTTAGATAATTTAGCTGTGTGGAACAATCAAAATGCTAACATTAGAACAATGATCGAGTTATGTTGCATCCAATCAAGCTAGGCCGTGAACTAACAATAACAACACTGATGATCGTCCAGAGGTCACGAGAAAAAAAAAACCCATAAAACACGAAGTGTGTTTATTTTTCCTTCGTATAGTGTGAACAGTTCTTATCAGTTCAAAGTTGTATTACATTGACGGATTCTAATGTCAAGGAAAAAAACAACAGATATCATAAAATATTGACAGCTACAGTACAATAATGTTTGTGTTGAAATTTTTCGGTTAAGGGAATCGCAACGTTATATTAAGAAAGAAAATGACGCCACAAAACCAAAAATACGGTGATGCACCAGTTTGTCCACGAGTCCTCCGTTCACGACTGGCAAAGTGCTTTGTCGCCCAGACTTGCAGGGCCGAGACGAATAAAAAAGCAAGGTTATCAAAAAGAAGACACCTCCTCGTTGCCGAGGAAGGGTGGGAGGGGCTTCCTGTCAACAAAACGAGCAATCTTTGAATACGGAATAAAGGAATTCCATTGTGAAACTGCAGCCATCCAAAGAAACAGCATGCACGAAAACGCCGCTTGCGTTGTTCCGTTCCTCCTTGGACCACAAAGTGACGAAGGCCGGGATGCAGCCCGGACGTACTCAAGCTGACATTTCTAACACGCCATAACTTGCCGGAGTTTCGCACTCGGCGCGTTACGTCTTTGCGGCCTTCTTGCGCCTCTGGTGTTCAGAAGATCCGAAAGCTGGAAAGCGCCACCCGTTGTGTTCAGCCGGCAGTTGTGAGGATGTGGAGGTTCGTCCTGGTCGCCGAAGTGCTGCTGGTTGTCATCGTCTGTGAGTCCTCAAGAGTGGAACCTTACTGGATACCGTCCTATGGTTCTCGAGCGTCTACTCGCTGGAGGTCCGAACCTCCGTGGGACAAGAACAGCCGTTGTGAGTCAATTAAGCGGAAATGTGGGGGCCATTACTCTCCTAAACCCCGTGTCCTTAAGGTACACTCTTAGTCCGGTCACTTCTGATGACACACCTACAGCCTATTTAGGCGTCGCATGCGCTATAGTTTGCCATGAAAAGAGAGTGGGCTGCAAAAGTAGTTGTGACGTTCTGGCGTTACGACCTGTATCTATTACAAATGTTATTTTCTGAAGTTAATGAATTACCCACAAGTTCGTGATTACAAGTCAGTAGTGCTGTACAATTAAGCGTTATATTACAAAAAAGACAAAATAAAATAAAATGTTAATCTCTAGAACCCACGATCAAGAAAGAAGCGCAAACTCGTCAGCTAGACGTTTTTTTCCTTGGACGTTGTCATGCACGCGCGCTTTCCCATTTATTTATTTGCCGCTGCCAGGCAGCCGTGTTCTCTTGTTTCTGTATATTTTTTCGTCAATTTTAGCTCTCATAGTTTAGTTTCATAATTAGTTGGTCTCAGATCGACAGCATACCAAGGAGCAAATGGCGCCTCCAAACCCAGATTCCCTAGAACCCTAGAAAACCATAGAAAAAGAAAAAAGAAAGGAAAAAAAAAATGTAGTAACTTTTGGTGTGGCCGTTTAAAAGTGTTTACTTCCCCGCAAAAGACTTGAGGTTGAAAATATGTTTGGAGCTAAGAAATACTCTTCGTTGTGACACTGACAATAATAAAAGGTAAAGCGCAGTGCCAAAAAAAAAAAAAAAAAACTTGACATGAAGCGTTTTTAGGTTAACCTTAAGAGTGAAGCCTGAATAAAAGCGTGGCCGCGAGGCCCGACGCTGATTGGTTTACGAGTGGGATAGGAGGAGTGAGGAGCTCGACGCTGATTGGTTTACGGGTGGGATAGGAGGAGTGAGGAGCTCGACGCTGATTGGTTAACGGGTTGTCATATGACCAGGGGTAGAAGTAATGAGGAGAGGTGGATGAAGTGGGAGAGGAGGAGTGGGTCAGAAGACTTTGGGCCATCAGGTTTATCATTTCAAATGTGCGCATGGCACGCGTTAAATAGTCTGAAGAAGATCACCGTGAACGTAGGCGTCTGGCTAAACAGGCTAGGCGCGTTGATAAACCAAAAACGTTTGGCATGCGCGAACGTTTCACGTACGCAACACAATTACGTAGCAACTTACCATGCATCTTTTTTTTGTTGCTCTTAGCATATTTTTAGCCTCGTCTTTCGCCGTAGATTGCAGCGATTGGCTTTCCCAAGTTCATAGCAAAAAAGTATATATAGAGGCTACAGTTGTCTTCGAATGTAGGAGCTACAGTTATAAAACAAATAAAACTGCGGCTACCCTACAGAGCGCAATCAAGAGTGCAGGTGTTTTCTGTCAAGGGAAACAGAACGTGGCAGACGAGACCCCAAAAAGGCGGAGACGCGGTGCCGGGCACGTCGAAGGAGGGAGCGAGCTTGGTGCTTATCGAACACGGAAGGACAGGCATCAGATTTCCTAGCGTTTCCCTTCCCCCCATCCACCCCCCTCTTTTGCTTCCGTCTCTACAAAATTGATGATTCCGAAATCGCACACACACACACACACACACACACAAGCACACGCAAGCGTACACTGCCTCAAATACAAGAATCAGCAGAAGAAAAAAATTCGACTGCGGTCTAAGGTTTTGGCAGGTCAAATTTTGGGAGGGCAGAGCGTGTCTACCGATAAAAAAACAACTTTAAAACAAAAACGGGAATGACAAGCAGAAAAACCGAACTGGGAAAAAAAAAAAAAGCACGGGGTCTTTGGGAAACGGCGGAGAAGGGAACTTTACGACGGGTGCTTTGGGAGAAGGTAGAGACGGGGAAGCTACTTTCCGTTTGATCCCAAGCTGACAGTGCGGTAGAAGCTACGTGCTTGATGAACCAATCGCGCGTCTGTCTTTTGCCACATGAACCCACTCGAGCCCATACCACCAACGCGCAGAGAACGGAGCCCGCCTGTGAAAGGGAGGCGGCTGATTGGTCCGGCGGGGCTCGTAGCTTCCACCACGCTGTCAGCTCGGGGGTGAACGAAGAGGGGAGTTTGGGGGGAGGGGGGGAGGGGAAGGGCTGCGAAGGAAGTTGGGGAGGGGCACGGTGCTTTCAACATGGAAGCAGTCGCTGCTGGAGGGGATGGCAGCTGTCAAAAAGTGAGCATCTTCTCCACACCACCCCGAGACTGGGAACGCTTGCTTGCCGTCGGGGAAGTCAAACCGAAAGCAGGGGGGATGTTAAGAAATCGCGGTTGCCCGCATACGTTGTCACTTTGACGAATTGACTCCCGACAGCAATAGAAACGACGAAAAACACAACATCAGAAGCACCTTCTTTTTTTTTTTTTTTTAATATCCAGCTGTTGTGTTTTTCTTACTTCTTTTGAATGTCTGCCGATCATGGATAGAGAAAATGTCAGATATAGTTGATGTTCGGACAGTATACACCAACGCAGTGTTTCCAAACGATCCCGCTTTGCTCGCATGTGGGCACTGAGCGTTCGAAGAAACCAAATTGCGGAGGAGTCAAGCGTTTGCGCATGCGCAGTATCGACAGCAGCGCCACCGCAATGGCGTGACGTCATTGAGTTGAGTTACTCTACTCCGTTTCCCTTTATAGGTTCGACCGCTGCCGGCGCTGTGATTCAATGAGGCCAATGGAACAGCGCGAAAAGTGCGTCGCCAGGGTGCTGCACAGTGCATGTGCGTTCTTCTTTTTTCGTGCGTGATTAGTTGATGTTTAACAAACCCAACAGAGGGAACGAGGGACCGTGACGAGGCACTTTTGGCGCTACGTGATTGGCTTTGTTGGATCGCAGCGTCGGTTGCTGTTGGGCTTGGAGTGAAACGGAGTATAGCCTCGAAGTTAGAAGACGAGGCCAGTGATTTAGCGGAAGCGAAGCTTGTGAACGGTGTCTTAAAGCGGCTGGACAAGGAAAGAATGAAGGGAGCAAGTTCGTCTGCTTCAGGCGCGGGAGTTCCGGTGACGTCAGTGTGACGCCGGGCTCTGATTGGCTCTGACTGGAAGTATAGTCGGTATAGACCTCGATGTTAGATGCCTGGAAGTCTACCCCCCATGTTTTTTTTGTTTTGTTTTTTCAATCAGCCAAGAACAGTTTGGCGTTCTTACATCATCGCAACCCCTGTGCAAGAGGCAGACGAACTTACGCTCCACATAGCGCAAATAAAGGTCAAACCTGAAAATTCTTCCATTTGTTAGAAATGCCTAGGCGCTGCGCGTAATGTTGTCAATTTTCAAAAATGAATATAAAACCCGCTAAAGGAGTCTCAAAAACCACTAAATTGAAAGGGAATTTCAAAAGTGACTTTTATTAACACTATTTACTGTTAGTTCAATAGCAGCACATCAAATAAAACGTTCCTTAAAAGGGAGTTTAGCTGTTTGACTTAGAATGTTTCTATGCACATAACGATGTCCGCTTACTGTTATATCAGGTATTTGCAGGTGTGTTGTCTAGCCATACCTGCCGAGGTACATAATCTTCATAATTCTTATATTTTGCGCAATATTTGTTGGAGGTTCAAAGCTTTAGTGGGCAAATTCACATGCACTGCAAAAAGTTCTATCGTCTACTAGAGGTGTATCTGACTAGACTGACGTCACTTGGAAGCTCCAGTAACCTGTCCCCAAATTTTAGAATCATGTTGCTTCCATATTTTATTTCTCAATTGTTGCGCATAGTTTACAGGGCCCATGCTATCTGATAGACTTGGAAAACGAATTCATGCATCGACGCACAAATCAGTTCAAATCATGCTTTTAATGTTTATTGCCGTAAAATATCTCGACGGCGTCGCAAGGGTCTTTCCCACTGAAAACAATTTTCCTACGCCTAGAGTATCTACGCCTAGAGTATCGGAACACAGTGCCGATACTCTAGGCGTAGCTCATTTCGTGGCACTAGTGCAAACTGGAAATCATTTTAGACCACCCGTAAACAAAAAGCTTACACAACTTCAAAAACACTAAATATTAGTACACCTGCATAAAGGTAATTTATCCAATTATACAACTCATAAAACTGCTAAATTTAGCAGGAACACAGCTAAATTGATACCACTGCTTGTGGCTTGGCAAATTTCTTCGCAAAGATACAGATAAAGGTTAATGCCACCGAAGTAGCAAGACAGTTAATCTTTAAAAACTTATGGGGTCATATTATAGGGGGTGTGCGAACAGTGGTTTGAATTCAATAAAACTGCGTCACTTTTAGCCTTCATAGTGCAAGGTCATGACTCTATTCAGTCTTCAAGCAAGGGATGACACAGAATTCAAACTACTATTCGCATATCCCCTACTATTTATCACCTAATTATAAGGAAATTTCCTCACACCCTTTAAATTAAAAGTGCCTTACTATGTTCGCCTTAGAAGTTTAAGTAAAGTGCAACACAAGGTCACCTTGCAGGTTAGACTAAGGCACCTAAAACAGCTAAGCTTATGTATCGGTACACTATTTTGGTTTAGTGCAGTGCGGGTGCAATTGGCGATAGCTAATATTCAGAAAAGTATTTTCGGCAGTTTTCAGACAAACCTTGAGATATCTGGCAACCTTGATTTGATACAACGAAGGTCATCCTGGCGATATCCCACACAGCCTGGTGATAGTTCGAAAAATGCAGAGGCGGAGGAAATATTAGATTAGAAGGAGGAGGGGATGAATCATACTTGTGGTTTCTTTTTTTTATATATCAATACTGCCAACCCAGTTTAGGGCCAAGGCAGGAGTGGGTGATACATTGCTAATGGGCACACTGACATATGAACAGCGTACAAACAAAACATACAAAACAACAAAATTCTTTCCCTATACAATCGATGCACGAAACCTTAATCCACCCCCTTCTTTTTGACATTTGACATAGTAACATATATATAAAATAATCACATATCTGTTTTTCTTAAACTTCATAATTAAATCGCAATCGAAAACATTTTTAGCACTACAAAATGATCTCTTAATCTTTTAAAAGAAGAGAATGAATCAATGTCAACAACATCACCGGGAAGACTATTACATAAATAAGTTGTATGCACAAGAAAAGATTGTTCGTAACTATTTATTCGAGCATTAATAGGAGCTACTGTCTTTAAGTAATGCAAACGTTCGGAGAAGAAGCCTGTTGGTTTTAAATATTTCGAGCTATCGATTTTTATACCATTTTTGAAACTCTGATAGAACAACTTGACCCGTTGTCATGATCTTCTGTTTGCGAGAGGATTTATATTGGCTCTCGTTTTAAGTCCCGCGACAGATGTGGTCCGTCTGAATTCTGAAACATTATACGCACCGCTAGTGATTGGACATCTTCGAGTTTTTTGACCAGAGAGGTCTGCATGTGCTCCACACTGCAGACGCGTATTGTAAGACAGGTCTAATCATTGATTTTTTATGCAAGAATTTTCACAGAAAGGGAAGATTTTCCAAGCGTTCTTTTAAGGTACCCCAAATTCTTGCACGCTTCTTGACATACTCCACATGCTTTTTCCAGCCTAGATCACTTAATAAAATCACTCCCAAATATTTATAACTGTTAACTTTCGTCAGCTGTACGCTATCAACCTTATAACCAAAGTTTAAGACATTTTTGTTTCTTGAAATAAGCATGTATTGAGCTTCACTAATATTAGTCATCATGTTATCCTCACGACACCAAGACGCGATACTTGCCAACACATCCCTCACTTTTATTTAGTCTTGTATTGTAGAAACTGGAGTGTGAATAACGCAATCATCGGCAATCATTCTTAACTTAATAGGACTATCAGTGGTGGATTGGAGCAAGCTGTTAACATAGACCAAAAAACCTGAGGCCCCAGGACGGACGCTTGGGGTACCCCGAATAAACATCCAATAATTCTGAAAAGGTACCATTTACATCCACGAACTGTTGGTGGTTTGAAAGGTATGCATTAACCTATCTAGTCTGACATGAAGGAACTACGAGGTCTATTAATGTCTTAATTAGTCTACGGTGAGGTACTCGGTCGAACCTTCGAGAGGTCAATGAACACTGCATCAACCTGCTTACGCGTATTAACGTAAGTGAATAATTCATGACAAAATTCAATTAAGGGTGTTGCCGTTGACAGGCCGCTGCGGAAACCATGTTGTTTGGGGTTTAGGGTATTATGCAGTTCTAGGAAAGAAAAGAGTTGTTTAGTTATGATGTGTTCCAGTAACTTGCAGGCAGTGCACGTCATTGATATAGGATGATAATTATCTACTGAGTCACTTTTGCCACCTTTCTTTACGGGGACAACCTTAGCGACCAGCCAGGCATTCGGCAAAGCTGCATCTTTCATTGACATTGAAAATATATTTGCGAAGTATTTGGCAACTCATTCCGCATATCTTTTTAAGTAGGCAAACCATCTGCAAGCCATCTTGTCCTGGCGATTTTTTGTCCGTCGAGTGAAAGGAGCAATGAAACAATACCCTCCTCAGATATAAGGCTGCTCGTGACATCAGCAGATGGAATAATAATATGCTGACTTCAATCTCTTGTAAACACGGACTGAAAAAAAAAATTGTTGAACTTAACTGCTATTATTGCCCTGTCACTCACTAAGTCGCCGTCGATGCATATCTGTTTAATGACACTTTTTGTTGGTGATATGTGACGCCAAAACCTTACGGCGTTAGACAACACATATTCAGGTACTGTCTTTGTATAGAATGCGTCTTTGGCCAACTTTATTATTCTTTTTAGGTTCCCAGCGTGCTGATTTACATCGTTAGAACGGCGCTTGCGAAGCCTTCTCAGCGTCCTTTTAGTGTGCAAAATTTCACACGTGATCCACAAGTTCTGTCGTTTTATCTTATTTCCTTTTTTTTTTTGGGGGGGGGGGGGGGGGGGAGGGGATGAAGTTGGAACGACAATGACCTACTAGCTACAACATACTTGAATCTTAACCACATTTGATTTACATCAGTGCACTGATTGGAGCCATCAAGATACTGCTCAAGATGGTAAATAACTGATTTGTCATTTGCCCTACCAAAACCATAGTGTACATCTTTTTTTTTTTTTTGAGCATGGTTAGCCTCTAGGCTATAGGTGGCACAAGTTACCGGCCGTTATAAAGGGTACAGTCGTTAACATCGATCCATTTATCTATGCTTGGCTGCAGTGCTGTTAATCTAAAGCGAACCTAATTTTGTGACTCCAGGTTGAATCATACGCCATCCACTGTAACCAATTGGCCACCAAGCATGGTTGACCTCCCTTAATGCTTCCGTCCTTTGGTCATTGCGTTGCCTTGGCAGTCCTGCAGCTGTTCAACGTGGTCCGGTTTCCAAACTTCCTGTGCACGGGCAGCTGGGGTCAGGACGGCACCTGCTACGGCTACCAGGAATGCATCGACAGGGGAGGAACTGCCTACGGCCCCTGCGCCTACGGCTTTGGAGTCTGCTGCTCGTGTTGGTCTTGGCTGCCGTCTTTCTATGGGTGGTGGCAGTGCCTGTGCCAGTGGCGACAATTTGCGAAGGGAATAGGCTACGTCAACGGGATTAATCGATGTTTTGCAAAGCGTGTAGCAGGTGCCAAAAGGAATGCCGAGAACCCTAGGTACAACCGGTTGTAGCAGACGACGATATTGAGACCTCAGCGAGCGGGAAAGCGCAGGCGAGCAACTGCGCTACGCTCTTGCTCTCTTCACTATCACGTGTAGATACAGCGGGTGGCAAGGAGGAACATACAAGACTTCGCTCGGGGAAGTTGGGAATTTTCGCGAAAGTCTTGCGAAAATTACCGAAATTAAGAATCATCTATAGATCTTTCCAAAAAAAAAATCGTCTTCTGCGCACAGCTATCCTTGTATGTTATGAGCTGTGGAACGCCTTCTTAGCATTCATCGTAAGTCTGCTCGGTAGTATATCAGACTTTGCGCATGCGCCCACAGCTCAGTTACTCAGCATTTTTCGCCGGTGTGATAAGCGATGGAAAGGTTTATAGCCAAGTATACAGTTTAAGAAACTCAGGCTGTGGCAAGTTCAAAGGTTCTTATTATCCCTCCTCAGCCAGCGAAATTGCGACCTAATCAGATAAAAGCATCGGAGACAGATGCTATCCGTGGCCATAAAGAAACTGGAGCCACAAAGATTATTACAGTTGGTGATAGGCTGAGGTTTCAGTAGAAGCTCGGTCTCCAGCACACGCTTGGTACCTTCCACCGGACTTTGGTTGAAGTGTTATCAAAGATAGAAGGCACGCGCTCGAGGTGGAGCATATCTATTGGGTTCTTACGCTGTCACTTACTATACGCTTTTCTATATAACTTTCATTACACGTGTTTTCTTTTTTTAGAGCGCAGCTCTTAGGCACCCGTTTCCGTGTTTTGCGGTGTCGGCGTCGGCGTAATCACGCTAAATTTGGCAGAAAATTTGGGGAATTGAACTGGTGTTGAGGTCACGTGACGTCAATTTTCCCGCTAAATCGAACGGAGAAACTGAATTTGTTCATAGGTGACGGGACACCAAGTCATCTGACGTCCTTTTTCCCGCTAACTTTCGCGGGGAAACCGAATTGAGAAAGGAGGGGATGGAGGAGAAGGATGAGTGGGAGACGAGGAGGGGAGGAGGAGATGGTACGGAGGAGGAGGAGGGTTATATGCTTCCCTCCATGCCCGGCCTCCTCCTCCTCATGAGCTGCGCTCTGATTTCGCATTACAGTGAATTGTAAACGTATTTAATTTTTTTAGTAATTCTTAATTTCCTACATTCTTGCACGTGATTAACACCAGACTTGCACGATATGGGTTCTAAGTAACGGAATGGCTTTTGAACAGTAAATGTGGTCATTGGTATTAATTTGCTTCGCATTATTTTGCTATAGCCGCAGAACGGAAGTAGTTGTACTGTTTATGATAGAAACGGGGTTTCTTCAATCGCATCCTTGAGGCCACAAATCAGGTTAAACACGCGTCCTCCAAGCTTTTGTTGCTACGTATGGTTGAGCAGGCGCTCGTTATTCATTCCTCGCAGTTGAATAAAGTTTTCTCATATTTAATTCATTATCCTCGAACCCAACTGCAATCAGTAAGCACCATTTAATTTTGCATGGGCAAGTTGGGTGTTTGTTCTTCAATGTTTACTGTGAACTACGTCACAAGCTTCCACTGGTAACTAAATGTTCGCTACAAACAAGCAAAACTAATAAAACAAATTTTGTTTACGCTGACGTATTCCCTAACCGGTCCACCGCAGAATCATGTAGTTCACTATCGGCTTCCACGTCGGTGATCGTTCCACCAAATCTCACCCGATAAATCACTCCCGTGTAACGGTAAAAAATTAAAAAAAAGACACCAGTTAGTCGTTTTTTGCACCCACCTCATTCGTCCTGCACAATTTAATTTACACGGCAAACCTGATTTTACACAAATAAAATAAAATGCGCAAATCGACACTACATCACTATTGTTTACTCATTACAATCATTCCGTTTGTGCCTGTAACTTTCACCTGAATGTGATTTCCCTGTATTTATGTATACTTGTGCAAACTTGAAAAGGCTGGCTCACACAATTGCGTATAGGTGTAATCGACTGCGTTGTAACCGCCCGTATGTGCTAGTGACGAGAGAACACTAGGAAGACATTGGTACACTGGCATCATCTATCGGGCTAGCCCTGAAACAATTCCGGTATGGAGTATACCGGAAGTCAAGCCTCCAGAACGCGCTCGTTGCTTTACGCTGGGCTTTGTTTCCCCATGCGATCACCAGGTGTTATCAAAGGCATAAAGCTTGCGCCAAATGCGGCTCTTCAACCGGGTTCTTAACCTGTTACCGAGTGTAGATTCAAGGTTGTCTGTCAGGGTATCTGTTGGAGATCAACTCTACACACTAGTTACGTCAAACGGTCCCTTATAACATTGACAAAATTAATTCGAGCACACAGTGGAAATATATACGCAGGTCGGAATGTGTTCCAAGCTACCCGACAGATGACGGCAGTGCTTTCTCTCGTCGTACTCAATCACAAGTGGTTTCCATACAGTCTATTAAAACGTAGATATGTGAACCGCAGCCTTGAGGAACACGGGCATCGTCAGGCAGTGTTAGCCTTACCCATTTTCCAAAGTAAACAAAACGAAATAAATACTACAAGTTAACCAACACACTCAACATTACAAACCAATTTAGTTTCGCTTGTTTCAACGCCTCCAGTGAGTGCCAGTTGCGGGTCCATCGTCTCCTTGAACGGCACCTACTTCACAAGTCCCGGGTTTCACGCATCGGCGTCCGGCTCGATGATGATGATGACGCCTGCGCAGTCCAGCTGCGCGGTGCAAGTGGTCAAACACGGCAGCCGCGTGTGTCAGATTCGCCTGGACTTTGAGGAATTCGACCTGGAGCGACCCACGGTGGGCAACTGCGACAACGAGCGCCTCCTGGTGACGGGGCACAACGCCAACAGCGTGGTTCCCGATCTGTGTGGCCTCAATACGGGACAGCACGGTCAGTATACCATGCACTATGGTGCCTGGAACGCGTCTTTGAGTGGTGTGTTTAGCGCCCTGACCCTTCCATGCAATAAAGGTGGTCTCGAATTGCACAACTAATGACGTCACAGGTGCCAGCTTGTCACGCTGTCGGATGTCGCGATCCTGGCGGTGGATCGTAGAAGTTCTGACGAAAAAGGCGAACGAACGCCAGTGCTGCTGTCGTCGAGGCACCCCTACTTGCTGCTGTAGGAACTTCCGTGGACGGTTGGACCGAGGGCGAACTAACAGCAGAACAGGCGTCTGTCGCATTCGCCTCCACTACCGTGCAACCGGCAGGATCGCGGACATTATACTTCTTTGACGTCATTGGGTGGTAATCCAAAGATCACATGTGAGGCCGCACTAAACACACCAGTAGGAGACGTATTCCAGGCATCAAGTACGACCAGCGGACACGAGAAATTCGGGACATGCAAAATCTCTCAAACTTGGACTCCACCACTCCACATGCACAAATTATTTGTTTTATTCAAAAGTCAGATAGCATACAAATGAACACAGTACCGCCGATTCTTGGACATTAAAAGAAAAAAAAAAAGTGCGTGTCCAGTGAAGAGACAATCAATAAAGCAACGTACATTTCTCCGGGGCCACGGAAAGAGGGACAAAATTTGCAATAATGCTAGGCAATTAATACCACGTCTCCCATTCTTCAATTGTAGAGAATCCTAGTTGCGACAATTTATTATATAATAAATCAACACGGTAAAAAAAAAGCATTGTTACACTTATAAATAAATGAATATTTATTGATTTACTCTACCTGAACTTTATCTAGAGCTATGATATCTTGAAAGGCTAGCGTGAATTATTTGAGGGCGAGAGTCCCGGTGGTTATTAAAGACATAATTCTGCATTTAGGTTGCAGGTTCAATAGACCGATCTCACTAAGCGTTCGGCGCATGCGTGACGCCGCCATAACTTTAGTTCATAGCAGGCGGACGGCCGTGCATGCGAGAGCTCGTGCCGTCTCGTGCTCCACACGCACAGAGCTCCAGCGGCGTTGTCGCACGCGCAGAAAGACTAAAGTTCCCTCGATGCACTGCGGCAGCGGTGGCGTAGTCAAACTGGCTGGTGAGATCTGTCTATTAATATACCCAAACAGAAAGTGCACAGGACACACAAAGAAGACAGGACAAGAGCAACTAACGTACGTTGTTAGCTACCAAATATAATTTTTCCTTTCGCCGTCATTCTTTGTTCATTTAATGTTTACCCAACTAGCCCAATAAATAATTTTGGCATATTTACGTTTGAGTTCTTGCCTATAATTTATGTCTGTGCAGTCTACTTGGACGTCGACATGTCTCCTGGACCAGTGACCATTTTTGTGGAGACCAACGGCCAAAGAAACAGCCGCTGGAACATCAGAATATCTCAAATCAAGTGTGATAGCCCAACAAGAGGTAATATATAATACTTGACGTAGGTGTACGATATATGTGATCAATATTTAGGAATCCGGTAAAGATTGGGTCGCTTAGGGCGTACTGTGTCCTTATAAAGATTATATCTTCTCTTTCATAGAAAAAGGTATACATACCGACCAACAATATTTTAGTTGAAATTTTGTCATAGGCATTTTTAATTTGCTTTGCTGCCGTTATAATTTAGATAACTATGGTTAGAGTGCCGTCTCTGTATATAAAAATAAAAGATAAAACTCCTGAGAGAATAATCAAATCAAACAAACAGCTAACTGTTTTGGAATTTCAATATGAACAAAAAGATGAGCGTAAACCAGAAAAAAAAAAAAACTTTATTTATGTCACAAACTACAGGACAGTTTTACACGTGACATCAAAAGTAAAAGCTTTTTTCTTCTTTTTTTCTGGGGCGGGGGCGGGGGGGGGGGGGGGGGGGGAAGGGGGGGAAGGGGTGGGGACTTTGTGTTTGAATTCAACCACACTTGGATTTTGGTATTTGTTTTTAAATGACTTTTCATTAAAGAATGTTGATGTGTGTTAGGTATCGACGTGTGACAATAACGTGATCCAAAGTGTGATGAGGATTCGTAGTCCCCGGGTTGTGTAAGAAGTTCACAAAGATGCAATACTTTGGAGAATTCAAAATAAAAGAGGCATACATACCTCAATCGCTCTACATCTGCCCGCCTTGCCCCTGCAGCGCCCCCAAACTGCCTACAGTACTACACTGGTCCGTCGGGCAACTTCACGAGCTTCAACTACCTCGAGTCCCGACTGACTCCCCCCCGCATGGGCTACTTCAATAACCTCGACTACAGCATCTGCTTTCGCAAGGAGGCCGGCTATTGCTCGCAGACGTACACCGTGCCAGGCAAGGCGTTTTTTTTTTTTTTTTGTTTTTTTTTAATGGAAGCACCCCATTCGTTTTAACACTATAGAAGACACACTTGATCCGGGGAACCATGTTACGAGGTCGAGATTTTCATCCACCTTCCTATATACACATCTCTCAATTATCTGTCTCATCCAAACGTTATGGCACTCAATCAAATCCGCCTCCCGACGCGGTCACTATAAAAGACGTTCCATCTCTGGCCAGGTATGAGATGGTATCTTGAGGTCACGAATTTGTCAAGAATGCTCCCAGAGATAACCTGGTGTTATACGTTTTTTTTTTTTGCCCGAATGGTCTGCAGGATTGCCAGCGCGCCTGAACCTAAGGGCAGCTAAATAATCCAAGTCCACGCTATAGAATTTTGACGTCCTCACAGTGAGGTTGAGCGCAAGCATAAACTTGACACGAGTGCATGCGACGTCACCGTTCGGCCATGGCCTCGTGTTTGGTCATTGCGTCTTTGGCCCTCCTGCTGTCGTGCTCGGCATCGGCTGCTGAGTTGGCTCCATCAGTGTGATATGACATTACGTGGATCCAGAGGAGGCTGTTTACGGGCTTCCCCAGATACACGTAACGTAATGACATTATCTAACCTTCGTAAGAGGTTAGATCAATCTGGGAACAGCTTTCCTACCTCTATGCAACGTCACCGCACTGGGACGGTGCCAGCTCAGGAAATGGGTTAGAGCCTGACCCCGAGCGTCCTTCGACTGAGTGAGCATCCTTCGACTGATTGATCTGTGTCTGCGCTCGATCTTACTGTGATGGCTACAAATTTCACGCGCACGGGCTTGGATCATTCTTTAGTTAGTTACAAGATAAGAACTCAGTAGATGCTCCACCCTGAGCGCGAGCCTTCTGCCTTTGGTGGTTCGTGAAGCTAACTGAGTCCGGTGGAATGCAAATGAGCGCGTGCTCATGGAGGCGGACCGTTTACTGACCGTATATAGCTGGTTTTGCGCCAACCCCGCTGATCTGACACATTTAACTCCAGGAGACGACGTGCCCTACGTCATTCAGAACGTGGACGCCAACAGCGCCCCCACCGTCGCCGAAACCGAAGCGGGTGTTGGAATGGTGGAGTGTCCCATGGACTATGTTCTGTTGGGCGGCGTTCGCTACTGCGGCACCAGGCTAAATCCGGACGCCGGCGCGACTAACCCCAGTGTGAACGCTCCTGTTGTAGGTGAGTACCTCCACGGTCCCTTTGGTAAGCCTCTGGAAGTCGAATGATACGAATATAGCGCAAAAGACAGCGCACGCGTTGAATTGGAGGACATCAAATTTAAACAATCGTTGTCCAATTAAAAAGAAACGATTAAAACAAAGAAGAATTTTGATGTGTGTATTTGTAGCCAGTGGGAAGTTAGTCACCTCCCCTGAGCGTCTGCTGTGGTGTCTCCACTTTATAGATAAGACATTTAGTCAGTGCAGAACCACCGCTATATGGACCTTGACGTCAAGTCTCGGTCATCTCATTATCGCGTCACAGCCAATTTGATTGCGGCATTAGCTGATAAGAATGCTCATGAGCCAATCACGAGCCAAGAAATCGTAAACGTAACAAACCACGCCTTGTTTTTTTTTTTTTTTTAAGCTGTCGGTGACTATAGACCTTTTTCACAAGGGCGCCGCCATCTTGAATTGTCGTCACTTCCAGTATGGGCGAAAACATTACTTAGCCGTCACCACGCCAATAGAAGACATTTAGGATATAAGCCTAACCGTTACACATTCTCGTTTTGGCTCCCCTCTATTATTTTACTAGTTACAGGTTGAAACGTATTACTGTCTTGTCGTCGCCCATATTGGAAGTGACGACAACTCAAGATGGCGGCGCTCCTGTGGAAAATGTCTATACTCGGCGACAACTTTTCTTGGCAATGCAGTGGAAGGTACAGGCCCGCGTCCCGTCTCCCACTTTGAGTGTGCGCGGGCTCTCCTCCTCTCCCCGGAATTGGGGGAGGAGGACAGCCTGCGTACACTCAGAATGGGAGGGGGGACGCGGGCCTGTACCTTCCACTGCATTGCCAAGAAAAGTTGTCGCGGAGTATAGTTTGTTTGCTTTTTGCGCAGGGGTTTGCGGTGACGTCAAAACGACGCCAAGTTCTGATTCGCTGTGATTGGAAGGATAGTGGGTAGACATCAATGCTTGAGGTCTACCCATTATCCTTCCAATCGGAGCCAATCACAGCCGGCATCGTTCTGACGTCGCCCTAACCCCTGCACAAAAAGCGGACGAACTTGCGCTCCAAAGTTTTTCGGCCAAATATTGATTTTATACAACCATTACTCACCGCTGATTTCAGGTAGCGCGTCCCTACCTGGGCGCGTCCTAATTTCGTTTGCAGATCGCAGCGCGTCGGCGGGTCCGCTTGGGAGACGGGGTGGCATCTCTCAAACCCCACCGTATGCGGAGAACAAGTTCATCTGCTCCTTTTGCAGGGATTGTGGTGACGTGAGAACGCCGAGCGCTGATTGACTCTGATTGAAGGGCAATGGCTAAACCTCGAGACAGGTTGATTTGAGCTCTACCCACTATCCTTCAATCAGAGCGAACCGGAACTCGGCGTCGTTCTGACGTCGCTGCAATTCCTAGAAAAAGAAGCAGACGACTCTGCTGTCCGCATATGTTTCCTCGCCAAAATGGCACATTAAAGCCAAAATAGAACAATAACAGTGAACGAAACTCCCGAACCAATACAAGTAGAAGAGTAGTAAGTTGGGCGAGTTGGTAAACGTTGAACATGGTTAAAATCGCGCACAAAGAGACGAGGACAAACGAGGAAGGAACACAGACAGCGCGCCTGTCTGTGTTCTGTGTTCCTTCCTCGTTTGTCCTCGTTTCTTTGTGCGTGATTTTAACCATGTTCAATACAAGTAGCCGTGCAGTTCCCCGAGTGGCCGCTGCGGGAGAAATGGCGGCGTTGCGATCGCCATTAGCTCGGTTCTCGAGTACGGAGCGGCGCCACTTTTTCAGAGCAGGCTCTATGGCAGTTTCCCAACTGAGCTGTTCTAGTAGCGTTGCCCGGATCGAAACGAGCAGCGGTGTGGATTTGAGCCCGCAGGATTGCTGGGTTCTGCGGCGCTAGCTGACAGGGGAACTATCATGGACCGCATGATGACGAACACTATAGAAAATCGCTGTCTCAGCGGAGCTTTCCACCGTTGGCCTGTAATGACTGGTTGTACTCGGTTATACACATCATACTGTTTGATGTACTTCAGTAGATTACGTAACACGTTTATAAAAAAGAAAAAAGCAACAAAAAAACACCCGATCCTTGGTTTACATGCGATCGGAAACACTTGCAGTACTGTATTCTCACGTAGCGGCTTCATTTTGTTTCCACTAAGCAGTTTGAGCACTTAATATGCTATGAAACGCCTGTATCGTGCCCGCGCTAGCTGTGTCGCGTTATGCAATAGCTGGAAGATATCTCAAGCATATTCTTCGAATACATTGCAGACACGTCCTCGGGCCCGTTCCTGGTTAGATTCGTCTCCGACGGGGCTCTCAATGCCCGTGGCTTCCTCTTGAACTACAAACAGAACAGGTGCTGACCATCAGATGGATGGGTGGACGGCGGAGACGGACGGACCAGCAAGTGCGCCGAAAGAATGTGCGATCCTTTTATTTATTTGAAGACCTATTTATTTATTCTACGTTATTATTTATTTACTTCTTTATTTGAATGTATGTGACAAATGAGCATTAAAAAATGAAAAAAAGCAAAACATTGTTTATTGTTGCTCAGTAGTAACGGTTGTATTAACGGCGCATCTGTTCATGCTAGCAAATAAATATGTTGGTACAGTGAACGCCTGAATACCGCTAACGTACAACAGTGGTATATTTCATATGACACATTTTGATGAAAGCACGCTCAAAACAATTTAGAGGAAAAAAAATACACTGAAATTGCTAAAATTTAAAGATTTTCTCAAAGAATAGTTTCCTAATCATCGTCTTTTGAATGGACGCGAGAGATTTCTAAACGTTCAACGGCATCTGTTTGTGCAGTGATGAATGATACCAGAAATATAGATGTCTTCCCTGAGCAGTCTCCAAAGAATGTGACAAATTTCTTCGCCATCATCTGACCGTCTTTGGACTGATCGATGCATGGCAACCCGAGCGCCGTATTCGGATCTTCCGTGCAGGTTCGTTAGCTTTCTCGGGTGTGTGGGGGAGCTTTTTTCCGCATGTCGTACCGCACTTGCTGTTACGTGTAATGAAACGATAACGTTCGACTTCATCCCGGAAATAAAAGATAGACACCTATTTGAGCAAGGTTATTGCTAATAGTGCTTTTCATTTTTTTTCATGAGGTTATTTTAGTATCGTCCTCCAAATAGTTTTACTGAATTTAATACCCATTTATATATATATATATATATATATATATATATATATATATATATATATATATATATATATATATATATATATATATATATATATATATAAACGAATATGTGCAGATGAATGAACCGTATACTTAATCCAATGAATCAAAGAATAGAAGTTTTCAGGAACCCGCCGAAAGCCAAAAAACGGCGGAGCCAGGATTTAAACTCTGGGCCTCCCAATGTCCGGTTGGGTGTGCTAACCTCTACACCACTCCACTTTTTTTTTTCTTTATTGCTACCTCTACACCACTCCACCTTAGCTTTCTGGCGTTTCCTACCTGTCTTATTAATGCACAAGAAACGAAATGTATCCAATCTGGGGTGTTCTGGAACCACACGCTGCCGCGTGGAACGCGGTACGACGCTTAGTGTCACGTGGTACGTGCTCGTTTGTGCTCCAGAAATCCTCACACTGTTTGTCTCGTCCCGTGTACATGTAGTATTCTTTGTTTTATGAGCTTTAGAGACACGGTATTATCATCATCTGCGAGAATCAAGAGCCACGTTATTGAATATACAGCACGGGCACTTCACACCATGGTACGTGTCCTCCGAGGAGGATATAAACGAATATGTGCAGATGAATGAACCGTACTTAAAATCCAATGAATCAAAGAATTAAAGTTTTCAGGAACCCGCCGAAAGCCAGGTAGGTAAGACAGGTAAGACAGGTAAGACAGGTAGGTACGACAGGTAGGAAACGCCAGAAAGCTAAGGTGGAGTGGTGTAGAGGTTAGCACACCCGACCGGACATTGGGAGGCCCAGAGTTCAAATCCTGGTTCCGCCGTTTTTTGGGTTTCGGTGGGTTCGTGAAAACTTTAATTCTTTGATTCATTGGATTAAGTACGGTTCATTCATCTGCACATATTCGTTTATATCCTCCTCGGAGACCACGTGCCATGGTGTGAAGTGCCCGTGTTGTATATATATATATATATATGTATATATATATATATGTATATATATATATATGTATATATATATATATATATATATATATATATATATATATATATATATATATATGTATATATATATATATATATATATATATATACATATATATCAGAGATGGGCAAAATACATGCAAATATGTATCGAAGTACAAATACAAAATACTTCGTCAAAAATGTATTTGGTTACAAATCTAATTACATTTCCAAAATAGCATTTAAGTACAAGATACAAATACAACCAAATCTATTTGGTCTCCTCCAAATAGTTTTCCAAATACATTCCTCAAAATTTGCGTCAGCGACTTCAGGGCACCTGCAACGGGTTTCTGGGTATCTCAGTTTAATTTTGCATCGTACACTCTGGAGTTAGTGTGCGAGGCTCTAGTAACGTAATAGATATATAATCACAAAAAAATTAATCAGCTTGGATGTAATAGGTAAAGAAAGCACAGAGCTTCAAGCAGCTTTTTTTGCAACGGGTTTCTGGGTATCTCAGTTCTTTGTTGGTATAGACCAACAAAGAACTGAGACGACCAAGACGCGCAGCACTAGCTAGAGAATTTTTTATTGTTTCAACTCGCACCGGTTACGAAAATCTGGATGACCCGCGCATTTAGAATGTTCCAGGCAAAAGTATGGATGGAAATCAGGCTGGAAAGCATCACAAGTTGTCAAAGGCACTTATTTCGCCAGTCCGCCTGTGAACGTCGATTTCGTCACTATTCTTGCCCTGGATCAAAAAGTCACTAAACGCTTGTGCTTGATTGAGAGCAACTGCATTCGGTGCGGAACGTGGTTTTCTTCCTGCTCCGGACACGTCTTGGGATGAGCAAATTGAGTCGTGACAATAAATTTGAGGGATGTATTTTCGCCCACAAAATTGTATTTAATTACGATTGTATTTGAAATACCCACGTTTTAGTATTTAAATACAGACGTCAAATACTTTACCCAATTCGTAATTAAATACAAATGCAAAATACACAAAGTATTTGAAATACGTATTTCAAATACTTGTATTTGAAATTCTGCTCATCCCTGATATATATACACCGGATACTGAATATATCCTCACACTAAATAAGGGAGGCGTAATACTAACAGCGAGATATATTTTATGCACCTTTTCGTTGAACTCTGTGACGCATTCCCATGCAGCGCCAACACTTCTGAAGTCCAGCCAGAGTAACACATTTAGCGAGGTTCCGTCACAAACCCAACCTACTGCCAAACCGAAACAAAGGTGAATTTTCCAATCTAAGTAGTTGGAGCGTTCGCCGTAACGGCGCCGCCATCGCCACCGACCATTTTAACGCTGCGTTTTCGATGGCTCCCTCGCTCCTTCTTCCTCTGTTTTTCTGCTCCCTCGCCGCCACCGTCGGGAAGGGAGAACACCGAACTGCCGGAGTGGGACAGTCAACAAGGGCCCCGCGGAAACGGACGAGTTCAGGTTGCCGCCTGCGCTAGACGCTGCGCTCTACTGACACACGTGCTGTCGGATTTGTTTTCCTTTTCAAAGAAGCGGGCACTTTGTACTTCGACTGTTCTTCGATCGGCGGAGTGCTACCCCAACGCAGCGGCGTCTGTGCTACCAAGCTTCGCGCCGCGACAGCGATAGCCTCCGACACCGCCTGGAAATATCGACCGTTGACAGTCAAGGTAGGTGTTCTCATCTCGCTTACTCGATTATCTCCAACCTTCCTGTCTGGCTCAAAACAACTCCGGCGCCTTGCCGGTTTCCTTGCCGCCGATTGGTCGCGTGACGGCTTGGAGAATTGTTTTGGGTGCTCTTTGTTGGCCAACAAGTTGCGTCGGGAATTTTAAGGTTTGTTCGTTTTAGCGGCTATAATCACTGAGATTAAGAGAACGGTAGACAAGTCTGTTTCAGTCGTCCCGCCACCCACAGCGCGAGCTTCGTATGTATGCCTTCCATGATGCTTCGGCGTCGAAGCGCCGAGCAATCACGCGCATCCGAAGCACGACGGAAGGCAAGGAGCTTGTGCTGGATGCGAGACTTCCTAAAGAGAGGCTCTGCCCTTATTTCTCAACCTGTCAGCGGCTGTGGTGGCAACTTATTTGACAGTTAAAGGTAGATTGGAGGCCGGGGTATCGTCTGATCTGCCAACTGGTTCTAAGTCTTCTGTGGTGTCATTTCTTTTTTTGTTTTTGTCTATTCGTAGAACGTCAGCGTTAGATGTAGGGGTCCCCGACAATACGTGCTCACGAGTATGAACTAATGAGGCGCTCTAAATGAGGCGCAAATACACCGCGCACGATACTATGACCAGTCCTAATCGAGTGGCCGTGCTATGACGATACCAAGCAAGGTGCCCTCGCCACGTGCGCGCACCTGAAAGGCGCACGTGCTGTGGACCATGGAGGTGGCCGGAACGTTTGCAGAAAAACATCTTAAAAGTAAGACCGTTCTAAGATTAATTTTTTTCGAATACGAATCGAACCTCGAATCGAATATCAAATAGTCAGAGGGGCAAATGCATTTATTCCCCGCATTTGTATAAGTCCCATATTGGAACACCAAACCTGTGTTCACGAGCATAGAAACAAAGTATTTAGAGCTCGCGTGCTCTTTTCTAGCAGGGGCTCGGAACGGCGCACTATGTCCGTGAGCGTTGGTTGATCTTTTCCCGACTTTAACCGGCAATAATCTCGATACCCTTTCATCAACACGGGGTGCAGTGTTGGGTCGAATGTTGTGCATTGTATGCCAATGATGCTGTCGCCTTGGCGAGGTATCTAGAAACGGAGCACCCCCTTTTCTGACCTGCACCGTCTCCACTTCGTTTCTTGGCTTCGCAGATCTCAGATCACAATTGTTTCCGTTCGCAAAATAATACGGGCGGGCGGAGCAGTGCGACACCAGACGCGCAGTGGTGTATTAGTAACATTTATTTATTTATTATTTATTTTTTATTTATTACCTACTTCGCCCAGTGGGCATTACAGTAAAAGGGGGGGGGGGGGGGAGGCGTATATGAGTAATAGTGCAGAACAACAAAATATACAGAAGATGCCATATATAAAAAAAATCCTCAGTACAGTGCTAGCAAACAAAAAATTGATACAGCAAAAGATGATGGGCGCCGCACATCGACATGGTAGTGTCAAAAAAAGGAGCAAATAGAAGAAAGTTCTACTAAGGCATCCGGGAGCATATTCCATTCGTGATCGTCTGGGGAAAAAACGAATACTTTAGGAGATTAGTCCTCGCACAAAATTCTCGAATTTTTTTTTTTTTCTAATTATCTACCCTGCGGGAAATGTAGGAAGCGTTATACAACATTTTGAGTTATCTAGACCTGTGTTCCTATAATAAAGATTGTGCAAAAACTTTAAACGTACACATTTCCTTCTAAACTGATTTCCATCCCAGTGTGCGCTTTATTTCTGAGGAGCTTTCCCTGAAGTTGTAATTATCTGAGACAAATCCAGTCGCTTGGTTTTGAATCCTTTCTACTTGATTAATACATGTTTGCGTATGCGGGTCCCTCACAATACACGCGTATTCTGAAATCGGTCGAACGTAAGAGAAATGAAGAGTCTCTTTCAGGTCTGCAGAAATTTGCCGAAAGTTGCGACGGAATAAATAAATAATTAATAAATAAATGAAGAAATGTAACATGCCGCTAGCTTTAGAGCGTAAACCCGTGACGTGATTATTCCATCTCCAATCATCGGACAACAGCACTCCAAGATATTTTAAATCACGGGTAAGATAGTCAGAAAGGAATGCTGGAGCAGTATATGTTACCGCCAGGGCCATCTGGTTACCGTTACCTCATCGCCGATTGGATGGTTTGGGGGGGAGCGAGGCCCAGACCCTTCAATCGGAGATACGGGAGCGATTTCACTGAGCTTTGTTATTCGAAACCGTAAGCAGATCGAACTTCTCGAATATTCGATTTGTTTCAGATATTCGAATCATTTCGAATATTGGAGAAAAATATACGAATGTGTATGTAATTGAATACCATAATTGATTTATAATATTCTATTCGTATTCGAAATTTCTAGTATTCGCCCACCCGCACAGTTAAAAGCCAAAGTCACTGTCGTTTTCCTCTTGACCCGTGACATTTTGCCTGCCGTCACCATGCGGTCTCATTCTCGTTGCTTGCTTCCGTTCCCCGAGTATGCCGTGTCATGTGATCTCGACTTCTGAAATTTCTCCTCTCCCCTGCGTAAAAAAAAAGCGACACTAAAAGGCAACGACCATACACGATGTCATAGTAGGTACAGAATGGCGTTCCCCGTGAGGAAAATTGAAACTTAACTGAATACACAATTTCACAAAAAAAAGTAACTTACTTTACAGTTTGGGCGTTTTAATTCGTTTACCGCATGCTTTCCTTACGTGCGAAACAAACACCCTTGCAACTTCAAACGTTTTTTTAAAATATAATGTCACGATAAGCTGTTACTGTTTTATAAACATCAAAATACTTTACAGGAGCGTTATATAGTCACTGTCGGGATAAGAATGGCAGGTCGACTTTTTTGGCATGCCCGTGGCCTCCAGCACGCGGTGGTTGCCTTCGGTCGTGCTTTTGACTACGCGTGCACTCTCGTATCTGACGAGACGTGTTACCGAAGGTGAAGCTCACGCAGCTCACAGTCACAGCTAGGGATGTCGCGAACCTGCCCAGGTTCGAGTTCGACCCGTTTGAGATCTTTGGAACTTCTTCAACGTGATGTTGGACAAAGGTTCGACTGAATAAGGATGGCTAGTTGGTTTTGCATCATAATGGAAAACGACAATTTTTTTTTTTTTTTTGTGATACAGTAAGGTTGGACAGCAATTCGACTTTTGTGCGCATCTGCGAAAATTAAACAAAAACAAATCCACTTGGTTTTACTTGGCTGAGGAAAAGTGCAATACTTGTTGGGTGTATTGGCATCGCTGGTTCACCTTGCCAACTAACGAATGCATTAAAAGCGCATATTTACACTTTTATATAGTGTAAACATTCGTAATCATTTTATAAAATATACAATAAACTACTTTGTCAAATATTTGTTCCCGAAATTTGGAATATTCGTGTAGCAGCCGGGCAACACTGTCCATAAGTTGAACTTCTTCGATCTTTAGCGAAGGGTCCTAAGATTCGGCGAAGCAGTCGAACCTTAAGGTTCGACATCGAAATATAGGTTCGACACAAGCTCGCGACACCCTTGGTCGCAGTTACTTTTATTCACGGCTGCGGCTGTGAACAACAAGCAAAGGACACGTTAAATGAAATCTTCCTTATTAATATTTAAAAACAGCAATGGTGATTTTCCCTGAAAATTTAAACCAAACGTTTCGGCCCACGTACGCAAAGACCCACCAGAAGCGTTCGATCGTCGCATGCGAAATATTAAACGTAAAACAGTAAAAGAACACTTAAAAAATGTATCTATGTATTATTTTCGTGTTGGGGTGGAGCATTCCGTTCTTATCTCGGCGAGGTACGGGCGGCGAGTTCTAATCGTTTCTTATCATCCGCACGGAACTATAAAGCCACTAGCCGCGCATTGCTGCACTTAGATTAGCACTCCGTTACTCAATTTTCTTCCAGGGGCCGCCATTTTCGTGCTTAGCGTAGAGTGGGCGCAATGGACCCTTTTCAAGAGTCCATCAACCAACATAGGCGATTGCCACTGCTTTTTGCCTTTCTATTTTCTATTTTCTATTTTCCCTGGTGGTTCTTTCCACCACGGAAAGAAATCGGGTGTTTAAGTAGAGGACGAAAGCATTTTCTTAGGCTAGGTGGCGATAGCTACCGTCCATTTTAAAGGGCATAGAAAATATCATCCATCCATTCATCCATGGACTCGAAGCGCGTGATTGGATCCGAGTCCTCGCCGAACGCCGGCGTAGCGCTCGTGTCCAATACGAGCCGAGCCGAGTTCACGCCGAAAGCTGATACAGCCCTTTCGTTCAATACACCCTTGAAGTGCGTGATCGTGCGACGGCAAAAACAAACGTTGAAGCGGTTTTTTGAAGAAAAAAGAAAGAAAGAGGTCTATTGGCGATTTTTACAGCTGGAAAATGCGCCGTTCCTAGCTTTAGCGTCGGGAAACTTGAAACGATATTGTTTCGCTCTGTTGCAGACTGTACTGTGTGGCTCTGCTCGGAACGACAACTTTACGGCGCCTCGAAAGCGTCTTCGACTGGTGTATTTTACGTCCTATTCCGCCCGTGCATCGGTAGTGGTCCCGAAGAGGTGGCGAGTGACGTCACGAAAGCCGGAATGTCACGCTGTCGGATGTCGCGATCCTAGTGGTTGGTCGTAGAAGTTCCGGCAGAAAGCAACAAGCGAGCGCGAGTGTCGCTGTCGTCGCAGCGTCCCAACTGCTAGCTGCTGAAGCTTCCGCGGACTGTCAAGCTGGATAAAGACTTACAGCAGAACAGGCGTCTGCCACATTCACTAGCCCTGCTGTGACGATATCTCCAGGATCGCAGTCATTGACAGCGTGACACTTTCATGGCGTTGTCAAGCAGAAATCGAGGGACCAATTTTATTTTTTTTTTGACGCGTTTAAACATATTTGTTGGATACGCGTTCCAGGCGGGTATTCCCGATTCCAACGAACTATAGGGGGCGCGCTGGTCAGGCAAAGTGGCTTCACCCTATGCCTACCGAAGACAACATAGATTT